GTGTGCCCGTAACTATCTGTGAGACCATGACATAGGTAGGTTATTTAATCTTCTGAGCCTCAGTTTCCTTACCTGTGGAAGGGGATATAATTATCATCTAAGTAGAAAGGGGTTTGGAGTAAAGAGAATTGGCTGGAGTACTCTCTGAATTCTTCCTTTCCATCATGCATGACACATGAGAAGTCCTGTTGATTCTAAACCTCCAAGACCTTTCCTTCCTCCCTTGACAGCCCTCACTTCTGGTTTCCAGACCTCCTGGTGAATCCCTTCACCAGTCTGCCTTCCATTTCTAAGTCCTCCTCACACCTCCCTGGGGAACTTGTTTCATCAATTCTAAAACATGCTCTTTCACACGTTAGCATCTTGGAAATCAGAACCTGACATAGTCGATGGTGTGGCATAGTGCTGTCAACAGCCTGTAGTTCTTAAACTTGATGATTTCTTAGATTTAATAAGCAGTGCACTTCCTAAAATATATCAAGAACTTTACTTCCCATTTCTCAGTCTAAGTTTGTATCTTTTTGTCTTTCAGACACCATTTCTTGTGAGAGTACCTCCAGCTGCTTCCTCTCCAGCCTCATTTCAACCCTTCTCCTGCTCTCTCTTTGCTGCTTACCCCAGATTACCTGGGTTTCTCTCTGCAAACACGCTCCCAAGTTCCTAGAGGGGGACTAGAGAGTTCCTAGGACTCACCCTCTTCATCCCATCCCAGGAGACACAGGTCAAGGGGCTGCTCTCCCAGTGACTCTCATCCTAACCACCTCTTCCTGCTCCTCCTCCTGTCCTATCCCTTGTTCCCATAGCTGTAGTCATTCTGCTTCTAGTGAGCAGAAACCTTTGTTTGTAAGGGCAGAGACTGCTTCTGAACTCGTCTCAATGCTGGTGTCTGCAAGCAGTGTGTGCTCAGGAAATGAAGTGGAATTGACTAGAGTATGGAAGCCTGACTTCTGGAGGCTTGGGAACAGGCTTTAAAAGTCCTGGGTATTTTGTGTCTCTTTTTAGGAGGTGACTGCTCATGCTGTTTGTCCCAAAAGTTCATACTGAGTTATCTTTATGCTGAGATGGCCTGCCTCAAGCTTCAGAGTAGAGGAGGCACCTTTTGTTAGGAGACTCCAATGCTACTTATTTCTATGTAATGAGATTCGAGACACCTGCTTGGTTCCCCGCCGCCACCATTTTCTCTGTCTCCCTGTGAACTGTGGCATAAGATACTTGAAATACAGGTCTCCTGGTTATTGGATTTGGGGAAAGGTAATAGAGCTATCCTGAAGGTGGGCCTACCTGCCTTTCTTTAAGTCAAAGTGCATTTCTTCGCGCCCCAGTGACCTGATGGATGGCATTGTCAGTGGAAGGACCTGGCTGTGGAGGCTCACACCCTACCAAACCACTCGAGACAGTGATTGTGTCAAGTTGCTGGACCTTTCTCTTAGTTTCCCCCAGTGAAACTGTCCAGCAAGGTGACAGCTCACATAATGGGCCTCTGAAACAGTACCTGGAACCCGGTGGGTTCTCATATGTTCATTCACCACAAACCTTTATCACCTCCAAGTAACACTCTGACGCCTTTTTCCACCTTTAGGAAGCTAAATCTTTAGCTCTTTAATCTTACAGAACTGTCGGTTATACCAAACAAGAGAACTGTAAAAATTAAGTAAATGTTTTCAGTTATTTCGAAAACCTGTTGATTTCATGTAGGGGATTCCATTAGTTCTGCATGTGTCTGTTCCAGTTACACCTCCTGAATCTGGGGAATAACCACAGGGTGGCTTCGGGGACCCACTGAAATGGACCTGAAACTAAAACTGCATTGATGGCCTGTTACCTGTAAGCTTCTGCTTTGCCTGGTGGACCACAGTGACATTTCTGGTCCCCAGGAATTAGTGTCACTTCAGAACCAGTGTTTGAGAATTCCCGAAAGTCTGCCCTTTTCCCTTCCCCAGTGTATAAACACCTTGGTAAACTAAGACAAGGGCCTTGGCTGGTCAGAAGAGAAATTGGGCAAATCAAGTAGGATAGCATTCAAGCTGGGCCCTAAGGTGTACATTTGATGCCCACAGAAAGCTGGGTAAGAAGGAGGGTGCGATTTAGATAGATCACCACCAGAAAGAGTGGCCTGGTCTGGCTACAACATGGCTATTAGCGATTACATCCTCAGACAAGGGATGTAATCATCCACTTTCATTTTCTGATCTATTTCATCTTTTGCCTGACATCTGAGAGCTTCATTCAGTAGTCTGCTATGCCAGGATCATTGAAGTCAGTGACTCCTAGGACTCAGCTGAGGTCTGGTAGGAACGATGATGTTAGTGATGCTAGCATGTGATTTCCCCAGCATGTCTTACACAAAATGTATTTCATGCCTGTGATAACTCAGTAGTACGTGGCATAGGTGGCACCCTCACTCAATGGATGAGGAGACTGAAGCTCAGAGAGGTTCAGAGACTTGCCCAAGGTTCTAGCCAGCTTTCTGTCATACCTCAGCCTCCCCATATTTTCCTTTGAACCCAGAAACCACCCAGTAAACTACTGGGCAGAGCTTGTCCTCTGGCCTGTATTCTTCCTCTTACTTCACCCTGGCTTGCTGCACAAGAAATGTATCAAGTGCTCATCCCTTCCCTCCATCTCACCGTGAGTAGTTGGGGGCCCAGGTGGGCGATTGGCCAGAAGGAAAGGGCCGGAATTCTAACATGCCTCTTAGGGTCTTTAGTGAGCAGCTGGGGATTTCTGCATGAAAACACATGCTGCAGCTTCTGGTGAAATAAGCCCAGGGCCCTTGGCTATGCAAAGAAGAGCTGTCTGTCTCTGGGCTGGTCTCTGCTTTCCTCCGTTTTCCATTCTGTCACACTCAGGCTGCTGTGTCTGATTCTGAGCACTGCTTCCTGTCCAGGGCTTTTCCCTCCGCAAACAGCTCTCTCCCTCAGCATCTCCTGAGCTCAGCTCACACCCCTGAGCAAGCCCCTTGGGCTGGTCCCAAGGGCCTCACCCACTCGCTGTTGTCGGACACCCCCTTCACCCTTTTCTCTCTCCCTGCATTCTCCTAACCTGGACTTGTGCTGGAGTCTGTTTTGCAGACTTTTTTTTTTTTTTTGCTTGAGTTGTTATAGTTACCAACTTTGTATATAAAATAATCATTCCCCACCCTTTATTTCCCCACCAGAAATAATGTTTTCTGATGTGGCAGAAGGAATTTGATGGCTTTTTAATCGTTTCCTTTCTGGCTCTACCACCAGCAAACATTTCTTGCCCTCCTTTTTGGGGGTCTTTCCTCTGGGGCCTAGATTAATCCAGGCTTCAGATCACTGCTTGGTTTTGCAGTGTGTTTTGATAAAAGAGCCCCAGCCCACTACAGCTGATGACCTAGAAAGAGGATTATGTGATGGGAAACAACTGACTTCAAAAAAAAAACCCATCTGCCTCAAACTGGTTCTACCTGTATTACGTTGGTTGTAATATAAACGAATTATATAATTACAGGGGAAGTGAGATCTCTCAGATTGTGGTAAAAACCTGAAGCTTTTGCCTTGTCCATGTAGTCATCTTCTTGCCTCAACCTAGAACTCCAGAACTACTGGCTTTGGCAGACGCTGGGTGAGGAGTGCATCACTCTGGTAGAATGGAAACACCATGCTAGGTTCAGAGGACTTGTCTGCAGGCTCTGGCTCAGTCACAGATATTCCATGTGACCACCCAGGGCAGGCCTAGCCTCATCAGCAAGATATTACATCCATCTATTTAGACTTGACTTTGGGGGGCAGTGGTGGTTAGCAAGTAACTTCAGGTAAGGGCTCAGTGTGCCATTAATTGTTCTACGAAGAACAGTTGGTTCTGTTGGGAGATGTCAGTCACCAACTTGCCTGGAGTTTCTGGTTCAAAAGGAAAGACTTTGGGAAAGGCTGAGTTGGAATGTCAAGCCAACACGTTATTCCACCTCATATACATCTCCTTCCGACCCCACTGTTCTCCACAGGCTTCCTGTTTACACCTCTCTGGTCCATTCATTCCTGTATTCTATTAGGCATTCCATCTCAACCTAGAATTCCCTTCTTCCTGTGTGACCTACTTACTGCCTGTCCTTTAGGGGTTATTAACGCAGTTCTTCCCCTTCTGACTTCTTTAGATCTGGCAGCACTTACCCACCCTTCACTGTTCACAAAAGTTGGCCTTGATGCAAATGCTTGTGAAGCTTGCCATTTTAGATACATGTCTCCTTGAAATTGGGCTTCATAGAGACAGGGGCCTGCTATGTACCTAACCTGTGGTGGGCATATGGTAGCTAGCAGAAAGCTGGTGGGTTGGAGTGTGCCTCTGAAATAAAATTGTAGTGCCATTCTGGACACATTGACAAGGATCATTATACAAGTCAGGAAAGAAGGAAGGGATGGTAGCCTGCCTGGTTTGGAGTAACACATATTTCATGGCCGCGTTGCGTGCTTTACCTCACTTCAGCAGCTCTGGGCCATGTGGGTGCGGGGGTGCTGCCTGTTTGGAGACACCATAACAAAGCAGAATAGCTTCCCAGTTAGATGGATTTGAGTCTCTTTACTAAGTCTGTGAGCCTCAGATTCTTCATTTTATAAGAGGGGGGCTATTTCTCCCACTCCGGTGGTGGTAAATATTAAGCTCGTTGGCAAGTACCCAGTTACACATGGCCATTTACAGGTGAAGAAGCAGAAGTAGAAACTTGGAAAGGTGAACTCAGCTGCCTGCTGGCTATTCAGCCTGTCGGCAGTAAACCAGAGTTACTTCCCAGGCATTCTAATTTCCAAATCCAGGCATTTGACACCAGTCCCTGCAGCCTCTGTCAGACCTTGACTGATCCTGTGTGAGCAGAGCAGGCCTGCTTGTGTAGAGCTGGCTCGGTGCCAGTTGAGTTGGTCCTCTTGGCTTGGAGCCATTGTCCCCACGGTCACTCCTGCTCTGATAGGCTGTGTTCCTTAGTCTGCAGGTGGTGTGAATGTGACCATCTCACTCAAGCTCTTTCCCGCCCTCCTTTGATTTAGGAGAAAGGATCCTGGGTTATGCTGAGGAGCCCTGCTATCTCTGGTTTGTCATGGAGTTCTGTGAAGGCGGAGACCTGAATCAGTATGTCCTGTCCCGGAGGCCGGACCCAGCTACCAACAAAAGCTTCATGCTTCAGCTCACGAGCGCCATTGCCTTCCTGCACAAAAACCACATCGTGCACAGGGACCTAAAGCCAGACAACATCCTCATCACAGAGAGGTCTGGCACCCCCATCCTCAAGGTGGCAGACTTTGGACTCAGCAAGGTCTGTGCTGGGTTGGCCCCCCGAGGCAAAGAGGGCAATCAAGACAACAAAAATGTGAATGTGAATAAGTACTGGCTGTCCTCAGCCTGTGGCTCAGACTTCTACATGGCCCCCGAAGTCTGGGAAGGACACTACACAGCCAAGGCTGACATCTTTGCCCTGGGCATTATCATCTGGGCAATGATAGAAAGAATCACTTTCATTGACTCTGAGACCAAGAAGGAGCTCCTGGGGACCTATATCAAACAGGGGACTGAGATCGTCCCTGTTGGTGAGGCGCTGCTAGAAAACCCAAAGATGGAGTTGCACATCCCCCAGAAACGCAGGACTTCCATGTCTGAGGGGATCAAGCAGCTCTTGAAAGATATGTTAGCTGCTAACCCACAGGACCGGCCTGATGCCTTTGAACTTGAAACCAGAATGGACCAGGTCACATGTGCTGCTTAAAATTCAGGGTAAAGCATCTTGGGTGTTTTTAAACTAGGTGAGTGTACCTTTGGTTCTGCATGCACACTTCCTGGACTGGATTCTTCATCCTGGGCCCTGGAGTGGGGCCAGGGGGGCAGTACAGGTCTGAGGAGAACCAAGTTCTTGTTATCAAAGTTCCCCCAAGTCTTGTTGAGGAGATAGGAGATACGAGTATGAGTTGGAAAGTCTACGGAAGCTCTCTGAGTGGACATCACATTTGAGCTTAGTATCTTCAAAGTCTTTTAGAAACCCTTTTTCTCATCAGTTAATAAATGCTAAAGGTAGAAAATGTACAAAAGAGGTATGGACAGTTTTTGGAGAATAAATGCTACCCCTGATCATCCCTCCTGCTCACACATCCAGGTCTGCAGTTTAGCTTTTGCTGTAGTTAGTGGAGCTTATTTCCTGCTTTTTTATTCAATGCTCATCTGAGCATTTCCCTGTGTCATACTTTGAAAGTATGGCTTTTAGCAATCGGCCTTATATTATATGTACCAAAATGGACCATTCCCCTACTTTAGATATCAGGTGGCTTCTGCATTTTAGGTCCTGTAAACATGTGTGAATGAGTATTCTCATACGCAAGTCTTTGCCTATTGGGCAAATTTATTGTGGGCTTTCAGTGTCGGGTACTGTGGGCCTGGTGTAATGATGTAAGCAAAATTAGAAACATGCTGTATGCTCATAAATTCTGCAGCTTACTTGGGGAGAGAAACCTTATCATTGATCATAGTTGCTTTACAAGGAAGAAGTATTAAGGGAGATTTACCCTTGAGAGGATGTTTCCCAGAGGCAAGAATGGGGAATGGGGGGCAGGAGGAGCTTTTCAGGTCAAAGGACTAGCTTCCACAAAGGACCTGAAGTGGAAGGAGCCTAGCACATTTAAGAGAGACTATTAGTGTGGGTTAGTGAGGAGTGTAGACATGTGGTTATCGGGGAGGACGGTGACCAGCCAGTGGGAAATACAGAAGTCTGCGAGGAACTCCAGGGGTAGTTCAGTTGGACCACAGTCTGAGGTGTGAGTGAGGGAAGTAAGATCAGAAATCAGGCAAAGCATGGGACCGTAGAATTTGACCTTGACTTAGGCATTTGGAAGCCACCTGGGGACAAGAGCAGAACAATGCAGCATTAAGAACTTCAGCTTGTGCAAGTTGAATTGAACATAAGATTGGAGACTGGGGGGCCAGTTGGACAGACTATCTCACTCACAGTAGTAAGGGATGTTGTTGAACCTGAAATTGAGTAGCACTGAGCATAGAGGACTGCCTGTATCTTCAGAGCAGATAACTGGCAAGACACCTAGTAGGATGTACAAATAGAAGAAAGTAGTAAGATATTGGGAGACTGATAGACACAAATGCTGGCTAGTGAGTTGGTCAGATTTGAATATTTTCCTTAAAAGAAATGCCTAGCCTCTTCTCATGGGAAGGAAGAGGATGTTGACCCCCATGTATGTGCTAGATGTTCTCACATGGGCCATTCTGTTTGATCTTTGTGGCCCTACAAGGGGTTAGGTCATTTACTCAATATCCTACTAATTTAAGGGCAGGTATATATCATTCATGATCCCTCTCCTCCCTGCTTTTTTCTTAATATGGCACGCTGGAAGTAAGCCACTCAATTCTGCTGAAGCCTTGATATGAGGTGATGGGGCATGGTACTGATCGAGTAGTCACAAGGAAAGGAGCGTTACGTATTTCAGCACCTGAGTTGGGGTCTTAGCCTTTCTTTTTTCTTTATCACCCTCAGATTTCTAGTTGGAGTTGAAATTAAGCCTGAGTTAAGCCAGGTCACATCTGTAATGTTCTCAGTAGACTTGTTTCTGGAGTGAGCTTTTAATTCTTTCATTCCACAAGCATGTATTGAGTACATTCCAGGTGCCAGGCCACTTTGTCCTACTGTGCAGTGCATAAGAATAGTGTTCCCTAAAGCTAGGTTTGGGGTAGTACCATGTTAAGAGCCCAGAAAGGGTTGGCTCAACAGTGTTTTAATTGTGTTATATGCTGTCACTTCCCATGTCCATCTCATCTTTTCCACTTTTAAAAAACCTCTTAGAATTCATGTTTGCCCTGGGGTAGGAAGAAGGATAACATTGGTAGAAGGACCTGACTTTGGGTTAGGATTATGGGAATGTCATAACTAACTGAGATCAAGACTCCCCTTTGGATGTCCACGCTTGGGATTTGTACTGTTTTGCAAGGCAAAACAAAGTTTTAGCTAAATTAGAGTGATTGTCTCTAGGTAAGATGAATGAGTGAACTTGAAATGAGAAAAGATTAGGAACATAGTTACTGCCAAGTCTCCCAGGCTCTAGCAGCGAATGACACTGCTTGGTCAGTTGGTGCCTGTTTGACCATAGCCTGTCTTGCCCTGCCCTACCTGGGCATTTAGAATTGTGGGCCTGGATCCAGGTCTGTGTGACAAGGAGCCAAGCCCTGCGGGCCCAAAATGATCTAATGATCAGTTGGGATGTGCATGAGCTCTGGCTGGCTGGGCAGAGAATCAGAGGCTTGAGTGGGAAGAACTGTTGAACGCAAACTCCCCTCCCTCCCACCAAGCATTATAGATAGAGAAGCTAATTCCATATTTTCATTCAACGTATTTATTAGGGAACTATTTGCCAGGGATTATTTTAGGTACAGCAGATACATTAGTGAACAGAACAGACAAGAATCCTTGCCTTTGTGGACCTTATGTTCTATTGGGAGACCAACAGTGAACATAAGTGGTAGGTTAGTGCTGAGTGCGGAATGTAGAGCAGGATAGGGGAGATGAGAATTCTGGGAGGTGGGAAATAGAGGTGTTCTTTTAAATGTAAGAGATGAGGGTGGGTCTCTTTGAGACAGTGAATTTTAAGCAAAGGTTAGAAGCTGGAGGTGAGTCATGAGGATTTCTAAGAAACACCATCCCAGAAGGGAGGGAACAGCCAGTATAAGGCCTGAAGGCTTAATCAGGACAAGGAAGGGAGTGTAGGAGGAGAGGCTAAAACCAGGTAAGGAGTCATCCGCTAGAGTAGGCCATTATCAGGATTGTGGCTTTTGGGGTAAGATGGACAGCCATTGGTGATTTCAGCTGTGTGCTGTCTGATCTATTGAAAGGATCCCTGGGACGACTGTGCTGACTTGGGGAGGAAGGGGAAGAAGTGAGGATACGGTGGGAGGCTGCTGTAGTGACCAGGTGAGGAAGAGGCATGGTGGCTTTGAATGGTGGAGCAGGGGAGGTGGTGATTGGATTTTTGATGGATTTCACGTCAGCCAACAGGATTTCTTTTCTGAATTGAATGAAAGGTATAAGAGGAATCAAGGATGACTTAAAGATTTTGGTCTTGGAAGGACAGACTTGCTATCAGATGAGATGGAGAGGAACAGGTTTGGCTGAAGAAAGTTAGGTTTCACTATCATCTGAAAGCTGAAATGCGTATTTAGAATCCCAAGTACAGAGGTGGAATATGCAGTTGGAGCGTCTGGAGTTCCAGGAGAGATCTGGTCTAGAGATACAGATTTAGAGATGGCCAAGGTACTAGAGTGGGTTTAGAGATGATTCTAAAGAGAGACTGAGCTGTGGGCCATCCAACATTGAGGTTGAGGAGAAGGAAAGCGGACAGAAAGAGAGGAGACCTGGTTATGGCGTCCCGGAAGCCAGGTGAAAGAAAGATAAGAGGGATCCGTCAGCCGCAGCCTGTGCGCCAGTAGGTTGAGTGAGGCGAGGACTGAGGATTGCCTGCTGGGTCTAGCAGTCGCGAAGGCATGGTGCTCACAAGCAGGGTTGGTGGTGGTGCATAATGGGGGAAACTCCCAGCCAGAGTGGGTTTGAGACAGAATGAAAGAGGAATTAGACAGAATAGAGCAATGATTCTCAAAGTTTTTGGTCTGAAGGCCCAGCTCTGAAGACTTATGTATGTTCTTGAAATTGAGGACTCCAGACAGCTTTTGTTTGGGGTTATACCTATGGATTTTTGTTGTATTAGAAATTAAAACTGAGAAATGTTTTAAACATTCTTTTCAAATGAATACGTAACACATCAGCTACATATTTACAGAAGTATCACAATTTATGAAAGAAAGATTTCAAAACAAAAATTAGTATGTAGAGTGGCATTGTTTTATATCTTTGCAGATCTCTTTAATATCTGCCGTAATAGTCAGGTGGTTTCTCATCTTTGTTCTGCATTACAACTTGGTGCCGTGTCATTTTTCATGCTGTAACTCCTGGAAAGCTCCACTGTACACTTACGAGAGAATGAAAGTGAAAAGGGCAGATAATGTTCTGTTGCTATGAAATGGCTTTGCTTCGTGAGCTCCGAAACTCCACACCACACTGAGAACCAGTGGAGTAAATGACTCTCCCTGAGGAATTTTACCGTGGAGGGGAGCTGAGAAGTAGGAGGAAGCTGGAGACCCAGAGAGAGCAGTTATTCAAGGTCCGAAGTAGAGGGACAGAACTTACGTGTCCCGATTCCCAGCTTTCCTATCAGACCTGTTGTTATGCCTCAGACTCTAACTGCATGTAAGAAACATACTTGTCCCAGTACCAGCATGATAAAGAACCGCCTCAGTAGATTCAGAGTAATGTTAAAGGGCTACATGGTTTGTTTTCTGCAACAATGAACAGAAGTGCCCATTGGGTTAGAAACATAGGATTCTTCCTTAAGGAGTGTTGCCTAGTGGACCGTCCAGGATTGGGCCTTGTTTCTGTGGTTTCCTGGTTATGTGACCTCAGGTGAGTTATTTTACCTCTCTGGGTTTTATTCATAAAATGGAGTCAACTACATTTCACTGAGGTTTGTTACCCATAAAATAGAGTAGATCATTTATTTTACTGAGGTTGTTGGGGGAATCACAAAAGGTTATGAAAGTGCCCCATATAAACTGTCTAAATGACATGTTAAATGGAATTTTACATACACGCTTTGGCTGGAGGTGGAAGTATTTTGTCTTCCATTCCCCTCTGAAGACAGTAGTCTTCAGTAGCCTTGCTTCAGAGGTTTACCAAATGACTTAAAAAAAAAAACTATGC